CAATAAACTTGTATGCTTACAAGTATGTATATATATATAGTTGTACATAAATTAACTTCCGTACTTAAATAAATACAACTATATACACTTAGAACTAAGGCGCTATGACCATGTTTCTCAAAAAAATCATATACACCTAGAAGTATATATAAGTATACATCAATGATCGGGCTAGATACCGGGCTAGGTCCGGGCCGAAGCCCAAATGGACACCTCTTGGTGGAACGTATAAGTTAGGTGAAGCGTTAATTTGTTTGGACATTCATTTGATGTGGGTGTTTTCTTTTTTTTTTCTTTTTTTTCAAAAATATCACTGTAATGTACAATTCCGTATGATCTTCTTTCCTATTTTATCACTAAATTAGGGGCATATTTAGATTGGGGGTAAAATGAAGTAAGGAAAGTTTGGTGTATCATTAATTTGTTTGGGAATTCATCTAATGAGGATAATGAAGGAGAATTTTAAATGAACTGAAGTGAGAAATTGTGTGATTTTGTTCTCTTTCAAATTGGGGTGCGATTAAAGGGAAGGAATTAATCAAATAATAATTGTCCCGCATCGAAAATTTTACCCCCTCAAGATCAAATCCAGTGATTAAGATTGAGTTTGGAGTTCCCTTCATTTCCCTTTATAGTTCACAAACACATCGAAATAAGTTCCTTTCCTATTTCTATAATGAATTCTCAAACAAGGTTTACCTTTCTCATCACTCCCCATTACTTCCCTTAATCCCTCTTCACTTAACTTCACTTTTCCCAGTGTATTCTCAAACAGAGCATAAAGCTTAACCGTATATTTTGATCTAAAATTCTTTCTGCTTTTTGCCTTTTCCTTTTGTTTTTACCTTACATGAAAATTGTTGTTTCTTTTTTGGATAAATTGCAAAAGGCACTAAGTTTAAGACTTTGCACTATATTTATTCAGAATATAAAATATCATTTTTGCAGAAATAGCTTGCATGCATATAATAAATAAAGTTCGTTTAGGGGTAAATAATTCTTTCAACATGTAAAACATAAATAATAATAATAAAATAGAGAGAATTGTAGGATACATTCTCGTAGGTTCCCCACCTCTGATCTTTCGCCATTGGTGTTATGTAAGGCTTTTATCAATACCTTGTTATAGGGCTGTCCATCCGGGCCGGCCCGGTCCGGCCCGGCCCGGAAAACCGGGCCCGGTCCGGCCCGGCCCGGAAAACCGGGCCCGGGCCGGGCAAAACCCAAGCCCGGACCGGCCCGGAAAACCGGGCCCGGGCCGGGCAAAACCCAAGCCCGGACCCGGGCCCGGGTGGTCCGGGCCGGTCCGGTTTGATATTTTTTTAGAATTTTTTTTTTAAAATTTTAACAAAACCATAAACCATAAATTATTATAAAAAATATCATAAATTTAATTAATAGCTTGAAATGAAATGACATAAATTACAAGTACAAAAAATGATAAAAATAACTTCTTTATTAATAATCGGTAAATCCTTTACAAATCCTTTACAAATATAAATTTATTTCGAAATTCGTCGCATCACAATAGATGAGTACATCCCAACTAGGTTGGCACCTACTCACCCATATCACTATCATTTGCAACTTTTTTCGAAATAATTTAATTCAAATTTAAAGCTAAGAAATAAAAATTACAATTTTATGAATATTATCTAATCATTATATCTATCTGCTAGTCCCAACTCTTCAAATTTATCTTCAATCATAGCAATCCGTTCGATGCCTTGTGTTCGCTTCTCGTATCTCCACCAATCCTGTAAGCACATCACCGCTTGTACAGTATACGGATCTAAGCATGTCCTGTGGTCGTCGATCAAACGTCCTGCTGTGCTGAAAGCGGATTCCGAGGCTACAGTCGAAACCTGCACTGATAGTAAGTCACGAACCATGGTGGAAAGTATAGGATATGAAACTGATCCATATACTTTCCACCATTGCAAAATATCTAAAGCATTTCCTTGACATCTAACTAAAGAAGCAGAAAAATATTCATCTATTTCAGAAACATCTAATCCTGATGAAGTTCCAGATCCACCAGTTAGTTCAGCTACCATTGCATACCTATCAAAACTTACACTTTTACCTCGACCTGTGCTCGAAGCTGAAGGTGCCGAAGCTGAAGACTGTTGTGTAGCTACACCATATCTAGCTGCATACTCATCATATAAGGTTTGAAAATAATTTCTAATAGCTAAATAATGAGTAGTAGCAGTAAGGGTGGATCCATCATCTAAGTCTATAATCTGTCCACCATACAATGATTGTAACAAACTTCGAAGGCCAATTTCCTTCAAGCATGGATCAATAAGAACACCAATACCAAAAATATGAGGAATAGGCCTAAAATACTTATTAAATTTACTCTCCATTTGAAAAATTATATTTCCAAAAATATCATCCATACGATATTTTGCAAAATTTTTTTGAATATTTAAAATTTGTAAAGCAGCTAAAGTAATAGTTGGATAATAACAACCAGATAATAACATAGTAGCATCATAAAAAACTTGTAACATCTCATTTAATTTACATATAACTGTCCATTCATCTTCAGTTATTCCATAAGCACTACCAGAGCTAGAACTAGAAGCATAAAAATTTATAAAATCATTTATAATTTCTTTATATTCTATTGCTACAGATAACATTGCATAGGTGGAATTCCACCTATGGTCAACATCTTTTGGAATTAGTCTAGGCTTATAATTTTTTCTTTTACAACATTGTTTCCATCTTTTAATTCTCATTTCAGAAGCATTATGCATATTAGTAACTGTTCTAACTTTTTCTATCATGGGTTTAATTTCAGAAAATGCACTTTGAACAATTAAATTTAAAATATGACAGATACATCTAACATGAAAAAGCTCACCATGACATGGCAATGACAAAGTTATTTTCAGAAAATCAACAGCTACATTATTATTACTTGCATTATCTAGTGAAAGAGTAAATATTCTTTGATCAATTTCTAGTTTCATAAGTTCTTCAACAATTAAATTTGCAACATTAATACCAGTGTGTGACTCTTCAATTGCAATAAAAGAAACAACTCTTTTAAACATTTTCCAACTTTCATCAATCCAGTGTGCTGTTATACATAAATAACCAGTTTGCACTCTAGATGACCAAATATCAGAAGTTAAAGAAAATTTGCAGTTTAAATTTTTAAAATAAGAAATTATTTTTCCCTGTTCCTCAACATAATATTTTAAAATATCACGTTGACAGGTTTGACGAGAAAATTTTGTAAATGCAGGATAAAAACCATCTCTAAATAAATCTTCAAATTCATCATCTTCTACTAATTTAAAAGGAAGGTTTTTAAGAACAATAAACCTGATTACGCATTTCCGGGCTCGGGCAGCGTCATAATTCCAACTGCCGAGGGTACCTGAAGAGGATGATTGGGAAAGCATAGACTGCCGGATATCACCTTGTAGATTTTGGCCTTTGTTGTGTTTTTCAATATGCCGTTTGAGATGGTTGGTGCCGCTCTTATGATGAGCTTTGAATATCTGGCCGCACAACGCACATTTCGCATTCTGAGAGATGATCCTACCGTGTTCATCCTTGGTGACGTCTATCTTCTCAAAAAAATTCCATACATCAGACATCGGCCTTTTTGGAGCTCTTGGTGCCGTAGATTCGTCGCCACCAGATTCAGGATTAACACCGGTAGGATGAGGAGGAGTTGTTGTAGGAGGACTCATCTCTGGATCGGTAGGAGTTGCATGTTGCTCTTCATAATCAGACCCAGAAGCCATTTGTTGGAAGTATTAGAAAATACAAAAGATTATAGGATAGTATATTAGTATGAGATAGTATAAGATTGTATAAGAGAGTAGTAGAGAGAGAAATAGATGAGTTTTGTTGTGAGAAAATGAATTGAAACCCCCCCTCTATTTATAGAAGCAGCCCCCTAGGTAAATGACCAAAAAACCCTCGATTTTTAGCCGTTTTTTGACCGTTTTAAGGGGCAAAACGGTCAAAAGACCAAATCTGGCCGTTAGGCCAGATTTGGCCCGGGCCGGGCTGGGCAACGGTCACCTTTGTGACCGTTATGGCCGGGATTTTTCGGCACTGTTCCGGGCCCGGGCCGGGCCCGGACGTGGCTCGCCAACGGCGACCCGGGCCCGGGCTCCGGGCTTTTTGGACACCCCTACCTTGTTATCACTTTCTAAATTCATCTTTCTAATAAAATAGAGAGAATTGTTAGAGATATATTTACCAGATCTCTCAACTGCACATCTAAATTCATCTTTCTATGATTTTCACGCGCTAATTCTCTCTATAGTTCATTCAAAATCATTTTGACGACTTTTTCTTTCTTACTTTCTCTTCATAATATGTGTTTTGTCTACAACTCATTTCCAATCTTTTAACGTTGTTTCTCTTTATACATTTCTTACTTTCTGCCGCTTCCATTCGCTCAAAACTCAAAATCAGAGAGGTTTAAAAAAATAAATTAGAACCTTTAAACTTTTACATTATTAGGATCACTTTGCTAATATGTTATTTTCCGATGAACATTAAGATATACTCATTATTTTACACTAGATTTTCCTTATAACATATCATACTGACAGCATAAATATTTGATAGGGAGGCGCTACAGGCACACCATCGGACATACCCTCAGCCACACTCCCTCTCCTGCTACAGTACAGGGGTGCCCGCATGAGATTCCGTAGCAGGAAAGGGAGTGTGGCTGAGGGTGTGTCCGGTGGTGTGTCTCTATCATTATTCTATTTGATATCAGCTGGTTTCTGGAAAAAAAGATCACTAAACAAAATCGAGGTAAGTGCCGAACCTCAAGGTTTTCAAATGATGTTATGACAAGATACAACAAAAGAAACGTATCAGATGATATTGCAAGAATCTGTAGTTGGCCCATCTAATTAAAGAGGGGAAAATGAATAACTCAAAAAGACAAATTATCTACATAAACTAAAACGGCATAATGAGCCCCCACCAAGAACAGCAAAAGCAGAATGTCAAAATACAACATATTCCTGAAACCACCAAACAAGAGTACGTATGTGAAGACAATCAGCTATAACATCCCTCAATGACACTTTAAATTTTTCTACTCACTGTCCCTGAAGAGACAAAATGCTTAACTCGTAAGAAAGACAATAAAAAGAGGGCCGGAGTTAAAATTGTATATATTCAAAACAAGAAAAGGAAAATGTAATCCTTTTGGAGAAAGAAGGCTGCCTCCCAAAATTTGCTCTTCTTTTTTCTTCCTCTTTTTTATTCTATATTAAAAAATGAATGTAAAACATACCTTTATCTCTCCTCTCACTTGTCTACCTTTTCAATGCTCTAGGGGAATATGATTTACAAATGGGGCAATTTCCCAGCTGGTGTACAAAACAAATGTAGCCTTCTTCATATAACCCTATCAAAAAATCTTCTACCCAAATAATTCTACCCCTATCTAACACTATTTCTTGCTTGGAGTCCCACCTCCTCTCTTCTCGGTAATTTGTTCTCCTACCTTTCTGCACAGCTGCATAAGAGAGAAGAAGAAGAAATATATATATATTCATATATTCATATTAAACTTGGAAATAATCCGTGCAAGGACTCATAATCAACCAGTTCTTGATTTGAATAACTATAAACGAGAAACTTACGTCAGGATCAGTGAACACAATCAGCTGTTTATCCGCTGTGGAGACTATAATGCTCATATTATCCTTGGTTAGGGATAGAGCGGTGACATCTTGACCACGTCTGAGAGCCAAAGAATGGAATACCTGAAACCATAGATCTTCATCAATTTCAGATATAACAACTTGAAATTAATGAAACTTTTTTGTTTTCGTTTCAGTCAGTTAATGCAATATCGTTACCTTCAGAGTGTGCAGATTGAGGAAGAGAATAGAGGGAACCGGTATTTGTGTTTCACTGCCTTCATTTGAGAGTGATGAACCAAGTTCTTGAGAACCAGGACTTCTTACTTCTGATTGACCATATTCTCTGGAATTATCATCTCTAGAAGAGCAGGTACCTAGCAAAGCATTCTCTCCATCATTGGAAATTTGAATGCAGTTGATAGTTCCTGAGAAGGGCAATAAAGTTTGGGTCTGAATGGGTATCCCATTTACAGTGAAGGTGCTAAATTTACTCTCCAACTCATTCCAAACCAAGACAATTCCCTGAGGTGAAAGGCATATTGCATGGACATTCTCAACATTTATCCTCCTTATTAGCCGTCCTCTATTCAAAGAATGTAATAGAACACCAGTAGTATTTGAGCATGAAGCAATAAGCCCTAGATCAGAACTAACACAGCAACAGACCACCTCCTTATGATGGCCTCTAAGTACATACATAGGGCCTTGAATCCTTCGACTCCGACTATTAGCTTCTGAAGTAATGTTTGTGCTATTTCGAGCTGTAAGAGGACTTCTGGGTGTTGTATGTGCACTGGTTGGAGTTTCTGAAGCGGTATTTGAATGTGAAGGAGAACTTCGTATTCTCCAAAGTATTACTGTTGTGTCACGAGACCCTGTAACTAGATAGCTACTGTCTGGGGAGATAGCAAGACAGGTGACAGGTGCACAATGTCCTGCTGCGGTTTCAATGGTTTTTGCTCCATCTGATGAGATCAACTTTACAGAGTTGTCAGCATGCCCACCTACATATTACATAACATAACTTAGAAACAAGATTACCAAATTCACGCAATGGTTCCAAGAGCAGTCCATTATCTAAAAAAGGTAAGGATATGAAATAATACCACTGAGAATATTTCGATGTATATGAATCATGAAAGCACTGCTAAATCTTGAGTTAATGCGATATTTGATAGAGTATCATATAAGAGAATATCAATGGAGAGAATTATCAGCTTAATTCGAGAATTTAACAGTGACCATTTTTTTATTTTTCTTCTAACATTTCTTCGGAATCACAAATAAAGGAATAGCAGATATTTTTGTGTGGGATTAACCAAACAATTATTTTCCAAATAACAATCTTGTATCTCACTAATGGCTTAACACAACCTTACCCACTCGTCAGGTTCCTCTGTCCAGATTTAATTCAGGTTTATACTAATGAATTTGGAATAGATCAGAGGAGCCTTTTTATATTAGATCAACTGATTGACCACTAAAATTTAATGTCCCATTACGTAGAAGAAAGATTCAATTTGGAAATGATCTTGTGGCACCCTCTGCACGTTAAAGATTCATTTTGGAAATGACCTTGTGGCACCATCTGCGCATTCACTTTTTTACTCACTTTCCCCATTCTTCAACAAAGTAAGATTTGGTTTCAGTTTCAGTCCCTCATTAGAGCTTTGGTTTCTTAGTTTATGGGAGATGATTAAAATAGTTGCGACTGAGGANTCCCTGATAACTCACCTTTGGTTCCAGTTCCGTCCTGAGTCTCTCCTATAAACTGAAATTTGAAAAGAAAGGAAAATTTGGACCTGTTTCGGACATCTTCCCCAAATAAAAAAAGGTTTTTACCTATATACCCCATAACGTACCCTATTTTGCAAATTTACCTCACATTAACTATTTTGTTAATTCACACCTACATTCTCTGAGATCATTAAGATAACCTCTAAGGCTCTAAATGCTTTTGTTGTGGAATATACTTGGGTATATTCCCATAATTATGTTAAGAGCTATCATTAAAAAATGTCTATCTTCCCTCAGTTAAATTTACTAAAATACCTCTAATTAGTTTTGGGGAAAGAGAGATTGCGGGAGGGAGTCGTCATCGCTGCCAAGGAGGTTGAGCTAGGATATGGCGCTTGTAGGGGGAAAGAGATGGGGGCCCTCTTATTTTATAAAAGGGACATAACATATTTTCTTTTTTACATTTTCTCCCTCTTCCTTCCAAAAACCAACAGCTTTAAATGAAAGGGATATTTTAACCAAATGTCAGGAATGTAAGGAAAATTAGCAAATAGTCAGTTTGGAGGGTATCTGAAAATATAGTAGATATCATAGATTGGGGGGTATAGAGGTAGACCATAAAAAGAAAAAGTCCAGTTATGTAGCAAAGATAGAGCGTGGGTGTGTAAACAAACAAATAGAAGTATAAATGCATGAAAGCACACACATATTTCAAATAATATATCTATATAGAATATTTATATAACTACTAAAAGTAAACAGCATGCTTTTTTATCTTTTGCAGAAGGAAAGGAGTAGCCGAATAGGTCATGGCTTTTCAACTTTCTACAGAATATGTGAATTAGCTTATTCTTAAGTTACTATACCCTGCAGATGTTATACATTAATAGAAATCATTATATGGTGCCCTCTTTCCAGTAAAATATACACTTGAATAGTTACCAAAGGTACACGTTTAAAGTTTAAACGAAAGTGTGATAAGATGTTTGGGCAGTGCAGTAATTATGTCAGAGAAAGTAAGAATTGACTGAGGAAGAAGCCATAACACGTAAGAAATAACAAGGGGCACATTTGCAAAGTGATTCACACATGATAGAAGAGGTCCAAGAAGAGTAACATCCAACACACCCAATATGCGCAAGGCTTCATCATAGAAGTGTTTTCACTAAAATCATCCAATCAAGTTTTTAGAATAATATATAAGGTACTAATTTATAAAAAATTAAAAGGCAAGAACCTGAAGATCTACAATCCTATAATATTTTCATATATAGAACTAAACAGAAAGCGAAGATGGTCTACTTTTTCTTACATATGAATATGATGTCAACAGTACAATCAAACTTGAATACAACATTGAGCACTGTAATCGCAATCTAGAAAACATTAGAGCCAGAGGAAACACTAATTCAACCGACTTCTAAATTATTTTTCATGCAGATTGTCAGAAAAGGGTGATTTTTTGAAATTCATTAATCAATACAGTGAAGAATAAGCTGAGAGCATATCACGTACCAGTGATGATTTCTTTGTTACAAATAACAGCGACAACAGCTGAACTTCGAATACTAGATGCAGCAAATGCTAAAGCCCGGGGGAATTGCCACTCTTCTGAAGCAGAACCTGATCCTTTAAACATGCGTAGAAAGGCTCCGCTGGTGGAACCTGCAGCTGATCTCCCATGATGAAACATGAAAGGTGTTCCCTGTCCATCAGGAGTATTTGGCAGCCATTTGTGCATTGCAATGTTTGCAGCAGGTGCATTTAAATCTACAACTATGATGGAGTCTTCTGATGCAGAAATAGCAGCAGCAGGCACATTACAGTGCTCTGGACTTGGAACAGCGTAAGGTTTAACTTTGCTGGGATTGTAAAATATAGTCTGAAAATAAAGCAAAGCAATCATAAAGCAGATAACTATAACACTGAACATAAAATAGCTCAGTTTCAAGGAATGATCATTAATTGACGATATAAGGAAAATGAAGCAAACACTGAGAAAGGGGTTTAGCCTCTTTAAGTACTTAGGAAATGAAAATATCTAAAGTAAATGCAGTAGCATTTGGAATTGTGACTTTAAGTTTTGATGAAATCCGATAGCTTCTTATTTCCAGGCAATAAATTTCTTTATTAGAAATGCAATGGAGAAAAGTCAACAAAGAAAATGACATAACCAATGAACTGCAATTAAGAATTCAGTCATATGAATCACATGGAGAACTGAATTGATTAAGATTCCAATATCGGACGAAGATAACATCGGATTTTAAATCAGAATCAACCTAACTGAGCACAAGAAACATTCTGAGAGTTATTGTTCAAAAATAATATGACTTATGAGATGCTAATGCACATATCAATATCTTGGCAATTCCTTGAAACAGAATCGTGACAACAGAGTTCATACTAGCAAGTTACTAGTTCAATAAATTATAAACTATTAGTATAGATACATGTAAATTTATAGATAAAATGTACCTGCAGGTGCAAGGCATCTGCCAAAGGTATTCTTTTCAAGTGTGGTGCTGTCAGTAGCTGGGTGGGTGTCTGTCCAAGGAAAGGGATCTGATCTTGTATGGCATGTTTTTGTACCTTCATTTTTTTGCTAAAAAAATATAAGAAATCATCATAATAAACCGAAACTAATGTATGTAACGAGTAACACTTACTGGATCAGATATCTTATCAATGTCAACCATCCCTTCGTATGTTATGTTAAGGAAAACATTATTGGACAAGATGGCTTCCTTACCACGCTGTTTGTAACTGAAACACAACTTGATCCGTGTAAACTTTTGACAGTAATAAATAAGAAAACAAAACACACCTATCTATAAACATCTGTCTTAGATGGATAATGTTATGAAAGAAAGAAAAGGAAAGTAATAAAGTTTCCACAAAACTCATGTACCCAAAAATGAGGTCGATCCACTCATGCAAATGGCCTGATACATGCTCGCTCTCAAGAGCCATACGATGCTTATGAATAAAATCCACAGAGTTGTCAGCCCAAGGAGGAAGTTTGATAGAATCTGCATCAAATGAACATAAACAAGACAAAGTATTACTTCACATGTCATGTATCCGAGTTCTGTTATCAAAATTACTTACCCAGCTCTGCTCCAAGTTGAGCTGCACCAAGATTAGTTGACTTTTCAGTAGTTAGAATTTCAGGAAGATAAAACATCTCCGGAACCTAAATATACACCAGATATGTCAATTTACATTTGAGAGACTAGTTGGTAAAAAACAAGGCACATCTTTTGTACTGTTCTAGAGGTCAGCTTGAATGTAAACTGAATGTTATACATTAGACACCTACCAGTTCTTTCACATCATTTACGTTTTCAAGAACACTTCTCCAGGTACTGCCGATATCCGATAACGTATGATCGGCATGGTTAAACTTGCCACCTTGTAGTTCAATAGAAAGAGTAGTAAATGGGTCCAACCTACCAAGGTAATAAAGGGCCTGTAACATATCATTGTAAGGCAGTCACATAAACCATGTAAAAAAACGGATATCATGTACATACTAAGGATACAAAAACCTTGAATAGAATATGAATTCAAAAAGGAAACATTCTAACAGTATGATTGGAAGAAATAAAATCATTGACTTCCTATAATAGCTTGAAAGTACAAGAAGAAAGTAATGTTCACAATATAAACTGGCAGAAAACTTATATATTGGTAGAGAGTGGGCACGGAAACTATCCCTGCAGAAAATATTCCAACAATAAATATTAGGCTTAATTGCACGTAAAGTTAGTTTCACCTACTTTGCACATATATGCCCCCAGTTGTATTTCAATGCACTTAATACCCTAAAGTTTCAAAAAGTTGCACTTTGTTACCTTTGATTATGCAAACATGAGAATTTCCACCAGAAAATTCTCATATGACACTCACAAGGTAGTTTTAGAACATTTTAATCCTTATTTTTTTATTAAATCCACTGTTAAACCTATCAAAATCCCATTGTAGGATAGAACTAGGGTAGGTTTAAAATGGGATTTTGATAGGTTTAACGGTAGATTTAACAAAAAAATAAGGGCTATGGTTATAATGTTCTAAGATAGCATGTGATTGTCGCATGAAAACTTTCAGGGGTAAATTCTCACACTCGCATAACCAAGGTACAAAACTGCAACTTTCATAAACTTAAGGGTATTTAAGTGCGGCCAAATACAACTGGGCTATATATGTGCAAAGTTGGTGAAATTATAGGGTTTTTAAGTGCAATTAAGCCTAAATATTACTACAAAGCTATTAAAGGGTTTCAGTAATTAAGAAAAGGTCCCATTTGAGCATGTTCCTCTATTACATACGGTCATCTAGAAATCAAAGCTAGCTTACTTTCTTCAATGGTATCAGACCAATTTATAAGTCAGAAGCATTAGAAATTGTTACAATTTTGACTGGAAATCTACTCTTAAGTATTCTCAGAAACGTATGCTATGGAATAATAATCACTACATACAATCTATTAACTATGGGCATGCATAGTTTCCAAGTTCAGAATGAAAGTTTTTGAATTTGACCACACCTTAAATGCTAGAATGTGTGGAACTTATTAGAAACCAGAATTTCGTCTGCACAGTTCCCATGTTCAGAATAAAGTGTCCAAAAACACCATGTACTAAAAGGTAGGTCTTGTACTGGTTCTGGGAATAAAGAAAATTAAAAGAAGATATTAAATGATGGGTTTTTTGCAAAAAATGACTAACCAATAACAGAAATTTGTTTTGTAGTTCTCTGATGTGACTAAAATATGAAAAATAAAAAAGAGATAATTTTACATTTTAACTCTCTCAAAAGATAGTACTGAATTTAACCACAAATTAAATTGTTCCACCAAATTTAGTACAACGACAACAGACAGAGCATTTTGAACAGCTGACATCTTGAGAAAGTCTTCAAATTGATGCTTTAATCCTAAAACGTTCACAACACCATCTGTGTGAAGTAATTATAATAACTCCAAATTATGAAATTATAAGTTTCCATGGTATATATGGCCTGAAAAGGCATCAGCGGCGCACTATGCTTACAAGAGGTCTAGGTTCAAAGGGCACAAAGTGAAATGTGATTCGTCTTCTAAATATAATCGTTAAAATGCAAAGAGTAGCTAGAGCCTGACATAGGTGCAAAGACAACTTGACTTTATATGTAAGATATAATGAACCTCCGCGAATGGATTGGCTGTGCTTGTATCCATCCCTTCTAATCTTTTATAGTTACAAATAGATTCCATATACTTTGAATTGAGTTGAATTGAATTTTTCCTTTTGGATAAGTAATTAAATGTGTTGGCAGCTCAGGTCCCTCACTTTTTAATCATCTGATGAAACTTTTCCTGTCAAAATAAGGCTGGCTATGCAGCAAATATTAAGGTTACACCATGTACTATAGCATTAATCAAATATCATGACCGGGGTTGAGAAACACTGAAGTGGTGAAGGGTGGAAGTGTCTGTCACTGTGATATTCACAACAGTAAAGAATCTGAACTAAATTATACTAACTAAACATAATGTTAGTGACTGATACAAAGATAAAATTTGAACTACGATATACCTTTTTCCAACTGATCCTATAAAACCGACCTTCACCTAGTTTTGGAATAATTTGGATCCAATACCATCTAATAAGCAGTGCTGTGCAAACAATGAAAAAAAAGCATGTAAAGTGCTTAAAAAGAAAAAGCGGCACTTTGCCACTCAGCTCAGGCCGAAAAGCTGCCGAAAAGTGATTTTGAGAAGAATATGTTCTAAGAGCAGTCTAAAGCGGTCCAAAGCGGTCGAAAATCGGCCCAAAGCAGTCAAAAGTGACCCAAGCTTGATGTGGACCGCTTGATGTGGCTTCTTTCAATGATTACATGTTTTTTTCCTCTTTTTCTTAAAAGAATTTTACTTGAAGTTTGGAAGGAACTTGGACTAATATAATGATGATTGTAGGTAATATGTATGTATTTAATAGGTATCTAATAATATCAAATATGCATTTATAGAAAGAAAAAAAACCTTCAATTTTTGCTTGTTTTAAAATTTTTAGATTATTCATGATTTTTTCTTATTTTTGTTGAATTTTTATCCATATTTAAGTTTTAATAGGATTCAAACTGATTTTTCCTTGGTGTTTTTTTCCGCTTAAACCCGATAAAACCTTAGCGGTGTCTCACCACTTCTCTCTACTTTCCGCTTTCCACAACCTTACTAATAACTCCCACTATTGAAAGGAAATTCTAAAGCTATGGTGAAAATTGAGGAAATTGTTTTTATCAATGCTTTAGAAAGTGCGCACTTTGCGGTGGGAAGTATTCTAATCTGTGTTTTAGAAAATATTTGGTGACTCCCCATGCCCAGCTGCTCAGGAGGGAACCTAAAAAGTGTTTGGCTATTTTTTTAGTTTTATTTTTAAATTTTCATTGAAAAGCCAAACAAATCACCAAAAATACAGAAAATACAGGAAAATTAAAGAAGTTGATGTTCAAGTGTATAACTATGAAAAATATCATGATAGTTTAAAATAACAAAAGAATAAGGAAAAGGAGAAAAGAGAGAGCATTAGGAGAAAGAGAGGTAGGATCAAAGAAGAGAGATAACGATTGTCATGAGGAAGAAAAGAGGAAGAAGAAGAAGAAGAAATCAAAAGTGCCATTCACAGCTGTAAATGGTGCCAACAGGAGAAGAGAGAGAAAAAAGGCACTATATTGTTTGAATAATGAAATTCGAAAAATCAATAGAAAATTAAACAGAGCAATTACTTTAAATGAAAAATCAAGCAGGGATGGTGGAGAATAAAAAATATATATATAGTAGCGAAGAAGAAATTAAAGCAGACAGGGATATGTAAGAATGAGTTTATGAAATATCATAGAACTTAGCCAAAATCATCAAAGAAGAAAAGAAGCATATGGAATTACCGTTGCAGCGCTAGAATAATGTGAATCATAATGAAACTTGGGGATAGTCGTATCTTCAAAACTGGAGTACCTCTCCAGAAACTTCTTTAGCCTGTCAGGATTTAGTGCACCAACCGGCTACATGATGATAGGAATACTAGCATTCAGTGTGCTGGATTTGGATAGACACTAAATGAAGGGGAAAAAATTATGGTGCACATATACCTTTGAAAGATCCCTGTATGAGGAAGAATCCTTAAGATCCAATGTCTTAGAACAATAATCGGCTAAGATCCATGGGAAAACAGGATACTGTAAAGAGTAAAAGGTTATTTCTAGCTTACAAGAGCTCATATAAAGATTATAACCCTACCTGTGTGATGTCATTGTAACTGCGTCCAGCAAGAATGTTGAGCTCCATTAGATATTCAAAATTGCTAATCTGCAACAGACGTGATTCCACGAGCTTCACTTCCCTTCCTAGAAAGTAACAATATGTACTCTAAAGGGAGGCGGCGTACTTTACCTCCCACCTGGCCCAGCGCTCCATAAGTTGAATTCTTTTAAGGAGTTTCTCAGGCCTCTACAATGAATGTAGGCAATTCAGAGACCTATTCACTGAGAAGACTGAAACAGTTCTAAGGCATTTATAGCACAGGGGCACTGACCTGTGTTTCCATGTAGATACTGTCCAAATGAGGTGGCCTTGCATGAGTAATGGCATGATATGCTTTCTTGCGCCCTTCAGTACTCTGGATAATAATACATAAGTACAAGCTGCTTAGTTCAATGTAATCCAAAAGAGCGGCTGATTATAAGTTGCAACCCAAAGGGGAACTGCTTTATGCTTTGTAAAAAAACGGAGCTAGTTGCTAAGGGCCTATTGCAACTAAGAAGGGGTTTACAAGCACAATAAAAAACAATGCTATTATCTTAGAAATTTTACCCCAAAATCAAAAAAGTAGCTCGACCTGTCATCCATGAACAATTCTAAAGCACTCCTTCTCAATAGATATCTGCAAACACCATTCCAAGAAGGAGATACATGATGTAGATAAAGTAACGTAAACATTAATTCAAAAGATAATGGAAGGTAGACTATCTAATCTATGGCATTAGCAGTTGGAGAGAAACAAGCAACAAAATAAATGCATTAAAGATGTTGTAACCTTCCAAAGTATAAATAAAACACTGGCAAAATGAGGACACCTGCGAAAAGGTAAAATGAAGAACAAGCTGTATACTGTTTCAAGCATGTTTTCCCTCAAGATAAGGTAGTATGACAGGCGCTCATGAAAAAGATTGTGCTTGGATAACTATTTTCTCAGCGCCTTCTACTAAAACTTTAAATAATGTCATGAACCTATGTCCAAAGTAAACATGCATGTCTTTCAGAGACTTTCAAATAAAAGTTTTCACAATCAAACTAATACAGCAAGGAAACTAACTTGTAAGCATTATCGTCAGCAGAAAGAAAAATAATTGGATACAAATACAAGCCCAGAACTTGTAAGCAGTGACATTAGCAGAAAATAATAGTTTTATGAAAATACTTCTGAAAAAATTGATTGGACATCTCTTGGATCAACAGGGAGAAATTTTTCAGATAAACGATTACTGGAGTCTAGTACTTCATAGGAAACTGAACAAAACTGGAGTAGAGTAGTGCAGAAGGAAATATGAAAATAGAACTTGCAGGGAACAGAATGTGGTAGAAAATAAAATGAGGTTAAGTTCTTTATATAACAGATATACTGTACATAATTAGATGAAAAGGATTCACAAAACAAGTGCTAATATAAATTTACTGATAGAGAAGAAAAGGAGTTGAACAGCATGCGCACAGTAAGATAAGAGAAATTTTTGGCAATTGAATATGGGACAAACAGAGAAAATCAGTTCCAGTTATTAGGTGTACAGACTGATTATGTATCACTAGTATGAAGAGGATGGACAAAGTCCAGCATTAATCAATAACAAACAGAGTAGAAAAAAATTACCTTCTACTATATACTTGATGAAGGGAAGAAATCAGCCAGCTTCTGCTCTTGTCCTGCTCATTTATATGAGCAGCAGCAATTGAACTATCATTACTGGGTTCATCAACTATGAAACTTATTCGCTTTGTTGTTATCTGGAAAGAAATGAGTTTCGTATCAATTTATGCTCTTTCTTCAAGGTCTACATCTTCTGTGTTCATCATACGTTGATTTTCACAATAAATGACATGCCAGAATCTTGAAATTTTGAGAAAGAGAAAAACAAACGAATGTTTTGTAAATGATGTTGTTTTCAACAGTGTTATTGGTCAAAACATTGTGGTAATGAAATATTTAACATTGATAGAATGTAAGACCTCCAATTTATCACAACATAGGTTTCTGATGGTAAAGCACGTGCCATTGCAGGACTGCAACGTTGCACTTCTGCCTAGGCTTAAGTCTTGGCATAGGTTAAGTAATGAGTTCAGAAAAACTTTAGATATTCATGGTCCAGGTTTCGTACGTATATCACATAATAAATGGATATTTTTACAGAAATGTAGAAAAATATAAGCACATGGACACATGGACATATATCTAAATTTTAAACTCACTTGAAAGTTTCCTCGTACCACCCTCAATGGACGCACCATCAATGAGGGAAGTTCAAGAACAATCCTCTCATCAGCTTCATTGGGAACAAATCCAGGCGCAAACCTCAATGTAGAATGGACCAGATTCTGATCAGAGGAAGCGACAGAGTTTCGAGAATCCATTGGCTCAGCAGTAGAAGAAAGCCTCTTTCTCTCCATCATATTGGGCTCAACGTTATTCGTTGACAACTGCTTAAAATCGTCATCATCATCTTCATCAATGTTGCCATTTATAGAGATAGCTTCTATAATCGGAATCAAAGTAGAAGGAAGACTTGTTTTCAGGTAAGTTTGTGGGTCATTTGTATGGAATAATGATTCTTTGCTAGATTTAAGGTGTAATCTCCCTTCATGATTGTCAGCTGCCTTTAGATGATCATAGCCCAAGTAATTCCTTTTTAAATACCTTCTCATCCTTGAAGAACTCACTGTAAAATCTAACTTCCAGAAAACCTGAATACATAAATTAAGTGGTTCTCAGAAATCTCTAGTTTCCATAGAGAAAATCTCACATTCGGTATAACAAACAAAAAACAAAAAAATCATCTTTCCATTTTAGTTAAAATGTTACTAACGCACGTACAAGCTCGGGATTGCATAGGCATTCTCCTAAGGGTCCAAAAAGTCCACTCATCTCTATTAAGTAATGAAGAAGTTTTCGCCATGCACGAGTTCCAGTGGATACACGGTATCTGTTCAAAGCTTCAAGTTGTGCACGCCTATCCACCTGCAACCATTCTGATATTGTTAATAAAGAACAAAATAATCATGAAAAATATAACAAGATATCAACGAAGGATACCTCCATCCTCTGCATGTTTCTCGCCAATGCAAAACTGGTGACCAAGACAGCAACATATTTATAAGATAATGCAGACAAGTCTCTTCCTGAAACAGATTTAGAATCAAACGGCTGGAGGCATTCTGTCCAGGCAGAAGCCATAGCTTCAGAAGTACTCCATCTCTTTGCACGATCTGCATCCATTACACTCCTCCTTTGTGCCGATGTTGCCATTGCTACTGCGCTAAGTCCTCTTCCGGTGCCAATCTTGGCATTGCGCTCAAGATCCCTTGCAGCAGCAAGAGCAGCGGCTTTCGCAGCTGCTTTGTCCTTTGGCATAGGTGTTGTTTTATTAGGTGTCTCAAGAGGCTTCTGGAAGCTAGAAAATGTGTGTAACTGTAATCGAGTTGTTTTTCGTTCAAGCAATGAAGTGTCACGCCTAAGTTGTGAAGTCCTGGGAGGAGGCAAAGTTTCTCCACCAGCGGTACCTGCAGCAATCATTGCTAATGCCATTGCAGCAGGAGGTGATGCAAAGGCAGAAGCCCAGCCAGGGGATACCATTGAAAGAGCAGCCTGAAATAAATTGAACAAAATAACTGACAACTCTGTAAGATATTGATGAAAACCTTGACTCATCAAGCACGTGTTGGTATTGCGCATGAACTTTCATACAGCAAATGATGTGATTTATTACCAAGAAAGGGAGGAACAAGCAATACATGGACATAAAGGATAACAAAGAAAGTGACAACACCAACAAAACTAATCACGGTGGAAAATCGCAACAAAGATCCGCATAGCTTCTCCAGTTATACTTGGTCAAAATTGTAAGTTGCCAGGAAGTTAATAGCTAATTTAGATTTCACTGTTCATTTATAGATTCAATGGATTGCTGACGTGACATATGTGACAGAGTTATTTGTATCATTCATAAAAATAAGTAAATACACGGAGTAGATTTTTTTGTACAAGTTAATAAATGATAACTGAAGAAAGCGCAGTAATATAATTATTTCTTCTGTCTTCATTAAGTTATAACAAAGGACAAAAGTTAATAAAATGTAATAATACAAAAGGAAACTAAATTCCAAGAATCAAGCTTGGGTTGCACTGAAATCAAATGATAAACTGGTCAACTGCACATTAGGGAAAATTTTATCCATAAACCTTCATCTAACATCAGAGTGTTTGTCGTGATAGGAGCTTTAAGACAGTACTGTAGCAGCTCTAGTTCAACTTCACTCAGCCATGCATTTAAAAAGGAACAATAAAAGAAGTATTGTTGCATAAAAAGTTGAAATATCATCCCCTAGAAAGAGCTCTCAACTTGCTGTCGAGTGTTAAGGGTATGAAAGTATCCTTCAACGGAATCAACGCTGATAATGTAGAACATCAGATTTTCAACATAGCGGCTTGGAATTCAAGACTGCCATAATTTTTTATAAATAAAATGCCTAGTAAATGTGTGATTTTTTTTTGAAGAACACTAGTAGTTTTGTAGGAGATAAATGAAGATTTTGGTGGAATCCATTATCATACATCAAACAAAGCTATAGATCGTTACTTTTCCTCTCCAAAGAACTTTGAACAATCAAATCAGATCAAATCCAAATGAAAGAAAACTAGTACCTCAAGTGGTAACGAATCTGATGCCAAAGCAGGATCATCGGCAGTGAGAGGATTCTCATAATCTGAGGATGTAAGCTCATGAATACCAGCCAAAAGAGGTTTCCATCGCCTTAGGATGGCAACAAATGGCGGTAAAATAGTTTCAACATACTTTTTTCTAAGAGGTGTTCCTTCCCTGCCAATGGCATGCCATACCTGCATCATCAGATTGATTGAAGAATTTCGTGCTGATATGTATTAAATAGGGAACAACATCACAACAAGGAAAAATAAAGAAATAGAACAAGAACTGTATGTAGAAAGGTGTACAGTTAGGAGCTTGATGAAGACAAATGTGGCCTGCTGTTAATCTACAAATTTGGTTGTGGTAATTGTGTAAGAGAGCCAAGTCGAGATTACCACTGTAATACCCCAACCCTTGAGAGGGTGATGTGATTAGTATTGATAGATTTGATTGGAATACTCATACCACCAAGATGCATCTTCTTTTCGGGAACCCAACTCCTAGAAACTCCAAAGTTAAGCGTGCTTGGTCTGGAGAAATTCTAGGATGGGTGACCCCCTGGGAAGTTTTCCAGGGAGCGCGTGAGTGAGGACAAAACGTGCTGAAAAGACATGTGGTGATTTGTGAGGCCAGTCCATCAGATCTAGTAGCGTACCGACTCCGGGATTCCGGGGTGGGGCGTTACAACCACTGTGAGGGACTATATACAGGCATCTTGCGTGTATCAAACAAGAACCACGTTTTTATATTGGTACTTCATTATTATTGGATATGTGGAGTCCAAACAAATAATTAGTTCACTACATAAAGCAGTTTTAGGCTGCAAGTTAGGAGACAAATATTTGTCAAAACAATTTAGCTGGTGTCCATGAATACGCTTAACACTATGTGATACCCGTATAAAGGTGACACTCAGGAATAAATGAATAAGCAGAAATTTTAATGTGCGTCAGGAATCTCTCAGTATTTTGGCAATATGTTAACCTAGACAGGTTTACAATTTAAAAAGGATTTCGTACTTAGGCAATTAATTTAGAATAATGTTCCTGCACTTTATCCTTACAGAAAGTATATTTATGCTATCCTGCCATAGAGTATATATGAACCACTGGATAGGATACATTAATTATTGGCCCTCAAGCAATTATCTGGCCTTCTCACAGCGATTACTTAACCTTCCCTTTGGGAACCTATAAAAGATTTCATCCTTTGGGAACCTTTAAAATATTACAGGCCAATAGATGGCTTATGAATCCGTGTCATCTCTCTGCACTTTGCTTTTGCATGTATCATCTAACCGAATCTAACCGAAGACTTGTAATAATGACCTGTGAAGAAGTTTCTCTTATCCTGGTTTGAGCTCGGGATATATTTAGATAAATAAATACCTTCCCTAAGACCTATTATCAGCATGAAATTTTCTTAACTTATGCGAAGACATGAATTGTTTGAGAAACTTCACATGGACATGGACTTTTTCTCATACACATTCTCCCTCCTTCACAGTTTCAACCCTGAGCATCTATATAGAGAAGGATACTGAAAGATTTTCAGTAGAAGCTCTCAACATAAAGATCTAGGAGGAACAAGGCTAAATAAGGTGTCAAAGTTCACTTCAGTCATGTTAAACAATTGTACAAGAAAAGAAAAGCATGAAAATAAAGCAATTACAACTATCATAATGCATATAAAACAAATTGATCCTGTTGTAATTTTTATGCGGATGAAGATTTAAAGGCCATGACAACCTGTAGGGAACAAGTCAAGTTTTTCAGGTTTAACTAAGCAAATTCCAGTTTCCTGACTAAAAGACAGATTATTTCAAAAACATAGGAAGATCTCAGGCTATGGACAGGTCAAGTCCAAGCTGAGAGATTCAGATATCACAATAGCTGCCCAATTATAGCTTCATTCACACATAGAATCTTACCAAATCCATGCCTAGGGATACTTTGGATATAGATAGGTTGCAAGAGGGTTGGATAAGGTTTAGTGACTTTAGTCACTGTTTAAACCAACCTCATTAAATCAATCAGCATTATATTGGAAATTTGGAACTAGCTGAACCCACCAGGATAAGAATAGAAGTTCCAGAAATGCTAGAAAACAGATAGGCTACAATGAAAATTTGATCTTTAGCTCTTAGTTTCAAAATATTCTAACATCCTAGCAAATTTATAAATTCTGCAAACTGAATTCAATATCTTGACACAAGTAAAATTCCTAGTTTAGAGTTTTGAATGGGAAACCTGGCGTATACTAGGGAAATTTTAACTGACCTCAGAATACAGAATGCACGATGCAACCAATACCCTCTGCCTTTTGGATTCAGATACCGGCATGTTAAGAAGCGGTCCAAGCACACTGTATGATATTGAAAAATCATTAGAGCAGTCAGCTCAGATTAAAATAGCAACAGAATGGCAGATTTTAAAGAAAATGTTGATACAAGTAGATGAATAATAAATAATTGTTAAATAACTGAAATGAAAGTAGATTTCCTGTGAAGGCCTATTATAGTCAACCCTTAGCAATTGCACATAAACTATTACATAAATTTAAGCACATTTGCAATAATCCAGTGGAAGTAAAATAAATGTCAATAATTTTTACTCACTGAATGTTGTTTTACGTCATTAATATTGAATACTAAGAAGCATGCATGGACACAGAAACTGACATAACTGCACGGACATGACAAGGCAATCTTCAAAAAGTAGTGCATGAAAGTATGGTGACATTGCACGAAAATATGTATAAAATTAAGAAAGCATACATATATACGCATATACATGGAGATTGCAATTAAATTCACAAATATTTTGTAATAACATAATTTTTTACATATATTATATCATATATGCTACAATTTCAACCATCCCATGTTCTGATAAATTCACAAAAGGAAATGTTTTTTTTATTCAACTTTTTATCAAGTAGCCAATGTATTATTACTTCTTTTATTGAAATATATATTAACCTTGCATAGTCTTATACAGGTCACTATTTAAACGATTTTTTCCACAAAAATAGTTTTTAACATATAAATAAAAGTATATAAATATGTTAAACATGTAATATAAACAAAAAAAGTATGATACTTATAGGGGAATTATCTAATAAATGTTGAATATTTAGGACTTATCTAAAAAATGTCAAATATTTACTATGTAACTGATAACACGGTTGAGAAATGCAAGGCATGTGTCCAAGGAGTGCTCAAACATGTGTTGCAATTTGACACGTTTATCGTCATGTCCCACATGTAACAGGGATCAATATATTTGATTCTATTCCAAATGGACTTGGCATCGTAGATCTCTTTGAGATAACATCAGATTCTATTCAGTCTGAGATAAGGGCTGATTTTATTTGGTTATTATTAGGATAAGAATACAGTTATTGATAGGATTGAGATTGTTAAATTTTGAATAAGAATTATTGATCAAAGAGATTTCTGGAGTGATTCCAATTGTGCATTTTTTTAAGCTTCCTGTGAACAGTGCCTCGTGAACAATGCCCAATGTTCACGACGTCGCAACCTCACTCACATATCTAATCCCTACAGAATTTTACAGCGACAGAGCTCTACAAAACTCAGATCTAAGCACATATTCCCATTTAATCATAATTAGATTGCTTATATTGTGGTTAATTAGAACAGTTATATCCTTGATCTTATATTGAACTAACCCTTTTATTTTGATATCCTTTCGCAAGATCTAGCTAATAGGAATTCGACTCTGACACTGAGTACCCAATTAGGATTTGTAGACTGTGCTCGACGTTTCACGCCTCAGGTTTATCGCGAACACATTACTTATTTGTTGTAGTTTTAGCATCATTTATTACTATTAGTTGTTAGTTTATATTGTTTGATATTTAAAGTTATTTTTCGTTGCAATTTTAGTGTGAGTTTGCATTTACTCTACATATTAGTTTGTTTAATCACTTTTCGTAGAACTTACATCAGATTGGTATGAGAGACTAGGTTTAAAATCATTAGCAACCAAACAAAAAAATTATCATTATGAAGTGTGAGGAGTGTCACATAAATGATGTTAATCCTGATTATTACCACATGCCTATTTGTAATAACCCATTTTTCCATAAACTCTTGGTCAAGTTCTTAGATACAGCTAGCCTCTTCCACCACCCCAACCTAAGATGTAGGTCGGTTTTATTTTATTAAAAAAAAATTAGTTCATTCAATTTTAGAAAAGGCTTTATTTCTAGTTAACTTGATTTAAGCGAATTTGCTTTTGGAAAACTTGATTTTTTTAGGACAGTTTATTTCTAGTTTAGGTTTAAAAAAAGAAAAACTTGTAGTTAGTTTATTGTTTCTCTTCAATTCTTTTCTATTATAGGTTGCTAATTGTATGCAGCTACATAGCGAAACGATCTATATAGCTGAACCGAATATAAATGAAACTCTAGATAAAATTATGAAAACTCTAGAAGATTTAACGCGCGAGTCACTAAACTCGAAGCCGATCGGTTAAAGGGTAACAACCACGATAGGAATGAGCATCCCAGAGATAACCCTAGAGCACGAAACCCAAATAATAGACTTCTCCTTCCTCCTCTTAGAAGGAATTTAGATGGAGGCCAAGAGGATAGGAATAGGTCCGATGATATAACAAAGCGAGTTAAAGTGGAAGCCCCTTCCTACGACGGGAGACACGACCCCAGGCTTTTAGTGATTGGATGGCAGACATAGACTACTATTTGACTGGTATGACATGTTCAACGATCATAGGGTTAGATTCGCAAAAATAAAGTTGTCTGGCCCAACAAAAATTTATTGGACCTCAGTTGAAAGATAGCTAGAGCGTTTAGGACACCTACCTATAGAATTTTGGGACGAGATAAAAGAAAGATTAAAAGAAAAATATTCACCCCTCACCTATGAGATCCAATTGTTAGATCAATTAAGCACTTTATGACGAGGTAGTCTATCCGTTCGAAAGTACATGAGCAAATTTGATGAACTTAGGGTTTGTTGTAATATCCAGGAAGACCCTAGTGTTGCTTTGTCTAGGTTTCATATAGGTGTTAAGACAGACATCAGCAAAGAAATGATTCCTCATACAATAACCTCGTTAGAACATGCCTATCAAGTTGCTCAAGATTTCAAGCAATATATCAAGATACCTAGCATAAGAAGTTCTCTACCCTAATAGGAGTGTCGTCTAATAGACAATAAATTAAAAAATTATAATAACGTATCTACAGATCAAAAGGGAAAGACCACTGTAGGTATCTCCACAAAGAAAGATGGGAAACCCAAATGATGTTTTAATTGTGAGGGTAAATAGAAGAAGATGAGGAAGAAGACGTTTACGAGGTTAATCATGGGGATAGCAATGTTGATGAGTTATTAGCCACCTTGTTAGGCTTTATGAGGTGTACGTTAGCAACAACACGAAATGAAGATGATTGGCATAGGAACTCTATCTTTCACACCTACTTTAAAATTAACGAGAAAATATATAAGCTTGTAATAGATGGAGGTAGTTGTGTTAATGTAATAGCCAAGTCAGCACTTGAACACATGAGTCCGCAGCCTTATAGTGTCACCTGGGTAGATAAAACCGCTATACCTATAGCCCAGAGATGTTTAGTTCCTATTCAGTTGTCTAGCTACTCAGACCATATTTGGTGTAATGTCCTCCCTATGGATGTTGGCCACGTTCTATTAGGACGACCTTAGCTATACGATAGAGATGTTACTAGTTTCGAAAAGTTAAATAACTTTGTTTTCACTTTCAATAGTAAAAAGATAGTCTTGAATCCGACAAAACCAAAAGAACCTAAAAATGCTAAAGGTAGCACTCCACCTATGAAAAGTCAGAAAAATAAATCTGTTCACATCTTAACTCAAAAGGAATTCATTAAGGAGAACCCTCCAAAAGGTTTTATGTATGCAATAGTAGTCATTAGCGAGAGCACGATTAGTGAACCACCAACACACCCTCCTGAAGCTCGTCAAATCCTTTTTGATTATAAGGATATTATGCCCAATGAACTTCCTGATGAGTTACCTCCAACGCGAGACATCCAACATGACATGGATCTAGTGTCAGGGGCCGCCTTATCAAATTTGCCGCATTATAGGATGAACCCTACTGAGCATGCTGAGTTACACCGTCAGGTAGATGAATTATTGCGAAAAGGCTTTGTTAGGGAGAGGTTGAGTCCTTATACCGTTCCTGCTTTACTTGCCCCTAAGAAAGACGGTGGTTGACAAAATGTGTATAGATAGTCAAGTGATTAATAGGATTACTGTTAAGTATAGGTTCCTTATTTCTAGGCTAGAAGACCTATTAGATGTCGTGGCAAGATCTAACATATTTTTTTAAGAATGATCTTAGGAGTGGGTACCATCAGATTCGTATCTGTGAGGTGATGATTGGAAGACCACATTTATGACTCAAGACGGATTGTTTGAATGCTTAGTTATGCACTTTAGATTGTCTAATGCACCTAGCACCTTTATGAGGGTAATGACAGAAGTTTTGGGTCCTAGGTTGAGTGCTTCAGAGCACTCATTTGCACAGCATATGCATGACTTGCATCTAGAAATTAGGTGGAAGATTGCTTTAAGTAATGAAACTTATAAACTGGCAGCGTATAGTCATAGACGTATGCAGGAACTCACAGCATGTGATTGGGTGCTTGTTCGGGTATGGCTTGAGAGGTTCCCGCTAGTGATTGTGAAAAAGCTTCATGCACAACGAACAGGTCCTTATCGTGTCATTCAGCGTATTTGACCAAATGCTTATGAACTAGATTTGCCAAAGGGGATGGGTATAAATCTAGTTTTCAATATAGAAGATCCAACTTCGTATAATGAGCCAATGAATATAGCAGCTTTTGATGAAGCCACCCCACATTGAGCTAGCTTGCCACCGCCGCCTATTATGCCTTCTAATAGAAGGCCACAGCCAGATGTGATTGAGTAGATTTTGGATGATGAGATTGTATCGACCGCCGATGGAGGATTTCAGCGATATATGATTCATTAGCATGGATGTCCACCTTCAGAGGACTCTTGGCTCTAGATCGATGAGGTTCAAAAGCTCGACCCGGAGTAGCTCCAAGAGTATCAGCATCAACATTCACCATAGGTGAATCTTTCCAAGCCAGGGAGAGTTTATAGGGATCAATATACCCGATTCTATTCCACAGGGACTTGGTATCGTAGATCTCTTTGAGATATCATCAGATTCTATTTAGTTTGAGATAAGGGCTGATTTTACATGGTTATTGTTAGGATAAGAATAAAGTTAATGATAGAGTTGAGATTGTTAAGATTTGATTTATTTAGAGAAAAGCATTTACATGCTTTAGATAAGATTTGATTAGTTTAGAGATAAAATTTGATTTTCTTTTTAGATAAGATTTGAGTTATGTTCAACTCTCTATAAAAGGGAAGAACTTTTATGTTATAGGCAGTAAATTTTGAATGATAATTATTGATCAAAGAGATTTCTGGAGTGATTCCAATTGTGCATTTTTTAAGCTTCCCATGAACAGTGCCTTGTGAACAGCCCTCGTGAGCAATGCCGTGAATAGTGCCCAGTGTTCTCGACGTCGCAACATCATTCACATATCTGATCCCTGCAGAATTTCACAACGACAGAGAACTACAAAACTCAAATCTAAACCCTTATTCCCATTTAATCAGATTACATATATTGTGGCTAATTAAAACAGTTACATCCTTGATCTTATATTGAACTAACCCTTTTATTTTGATATCCTTTCGCAACATCTAGCTAACAGGAATTCGACTCTAACGCTGAGTACTCAATTAGGATTTGTAGACTGTGCTCGACGTTTCACGCCTCAGGTTTATCACGAACGCATTCCTTATTTGATGTAGTTTTTGCATCATTTATTACTATTAGTTTTTAGTTTATATTGTTTGATATTTAAAGTTATTTTCTATTGCAGTTTTAATGTGAGTTTGCATTTACTCTACATATTAGTTTGTTTAATCACTTTTCCTAGAACTTGATAGATCATGTTATGTCAACATGTCTACAGTAAAGGATACAAATATCTATCTACATTTGACATCATGATTAGGTACACTTCTAATGAATCTATGACAAGATCAATTGAAACAATCTTATATTTAGCTTTTTCTGGAAACCAATTATTTCTCAAAGTTATACAGCGTTTTCTAGAAATCAACTATTTCTCAAAGTTATGCAGCATAAAGCAGAGCTCACGATTTGAGGAAAAACACAAACATAATGAAGATTGGGAACAAAATAACTGTGTATTCAAAATTATGATGATTGTTGCTTCTTATTAACTAAAGGACTATCTCAGAGAAATTTTCCCCTGTTATATAAAATGCTGAGCGTGTATACACACATATGTATGTATGCATACATATATAACACTATAATGTATGCATGTATACCAATATATGCATGTGTGTATATGAATGTATGTATGTGTAGTTTAAAATGGGCCTTCAGGCCAGCTGACGTTGGCCGCCGTCCTCCCCCCGACGCCCCCCGCTGGTGAAAAAAAGCCCTGCACTCCTCCAGCATGTGACCACAGAGGGGCTCACAAGCCCCTATCTCTTGGCAGCTCATTTTCTTAAATGGACTGTCAGCTCATTCTATTTTTGACATGCACTCACACATGAAAGCGCGCAGTCCAACTTGAGGGAGAGTATTCGAGTAGTTAGTATATCAGAAAAGTTATAGAAGACTGTTTTGACCTATACTATAAGACTGCAAACTGTATTCTGCTTGTGATATTATAAATAAAACCTGAGTATGCCTAGGATTAAGTCACTTCCCAACATGTTGATGTCAGGAGACATAAGTTAACATTTTCAGTCAGAAGGAAGGGAATCACCACCAATACCCCAACTCAAATTGAGTTTACATAACACTATGGTTCTTATTAATGTTAATATATCCCTCCAGGTCAGCAAGCTTCAACTATTGCAAATTGTGGCACAAGGAAATGCAAAATTACACCATGCATATGCTGACATCCAGTAAACATGTTCATATTACTGACATATTGACATGTATGCAAGTGCACCCACACATTTAAGTATGCAAGCATGAACAAATATGGTATGTACCTACACCTAAACAAGTTCAGAGCTAAAAGAAACTAAATAAACAATTCAAGAACCGAATAAAGTAAATGAATCATGGTTAAATAACTAAAACACAAACAACAATGGAGGCTTTCTCCCACATTTTAGCGGTCGGCTATATGAATCATACTCTTCCATTCAATTTTATTGAAGGCTATCTCCTCCATTAAGTTGAGCATTATCATATCTTTGTTAGTAGTTTCTACCCAGTAACTCTTATGCCTGCCTCTGCTCCTTCATTCTCCATTAATTATAATTTTATTGACAAGTGGATATGTATAAAATTTTGAACATCAACAAAACAGACTTAAAGAACATTACCTCCAAAGAAGTGCAGAACGTGGCTTCCTTATCAACAAACGGTTACTGTTCTCTGATTGTGTCAAGTTGCTAGCTTGATAACTCAAACCTTCTGAAATTCCATCTTTGATGCTAATGTTTCTCATAAAGATATCATCTTCCCCATTGTCATCCTCCCTCATTGAAGCAAGTATCACGCGAAGCATGCACAAGAATGGCTGGTCGCTGTCCAGCAAATGATGCAGTGCCCTCATTCCTCCTATTCCAGTGCCAGAACCACATCCAACATTAAGTCCGCCACCAATTGCACATTCATCTAACAACAGTGCCTGGAGCATTGTTACTGATTTCTTCACCAACGGGAGTTCAATCCAGTTTCCATTTGAGTCCTTCTCCAGAACAGACTTCCATAGTTCCCAACCACTTCCCCCACCACCAAAAGTTGCTTTTGGGGGAAGGCCAACCCCATACCAAAGCTTGCTCCTGTACTTCCAACCCTCTGCTAGATCTAAGGTGCAACTACCATAAGCTACAAAGGCACAACGAACAGATTCATAAGGCTCTGCTGCAGCAGCAGCTGTGAGACGCTCCATAACTGCTGCAGAAACCTGGCCATTTGAATCAGCGATGGAAGCAAGAACCTAGTTTGGAGTACGAAGTAATAACTACAGTAAGAACAACACTAGATTGTTACCGAAAGACAAACTCAAGAGACGGTTATTGCAATTTGAATTAGTTGATAAAAAAACAAATATAAAACAAATAAAATTTCAATAAAAAGTTCGGAGAACGGCCTGGGAAAGAATACGTTTCATGGGAAAATAGAAAAGAGTATGTCACAATAGCGCATTCGGATAAAAGTTAACATCACAAACACAGTGCATATGAATACAAATTTGTGCATACTGTATGTGAAAAGTTAAATACACCAAAGCATAGATTAGAAATCGCTAATTGACACTGTGCTGCTGATGCAATCTATTTCAGTATGCTACAGGATGTCATCTGAGGCCCGCCCCTGTGATTGCTAGTGGAACCCCCAGCCCAGAGTTTGTATCAAAATAGTACCTTATTTGAAGTAAAATTAACATTCACATCTTTTCTGCAATATTGTAAGGAAAATGGATCCTTTCGACAATAGAACAAAACATTTATAAAACAAAGGTTCACCAATGACGCCTCCACCAACAATATTAGACAGTTTAAACATTGAACTATAGTTTTTTAAGCCTATAGTTATTTAACACCTGAACTGAAACCGTCTTAGGAACATTCGAACAAGCACCAAAATAAAAGGAGAAAGATCTTGATTTTCTTCTGCAAACGATTCATGCTGTTTTTTCAAATGTTACTTAAATGTATCCTTTCAACAGTAGAACAAAACACTTTTAAAACAAAGGTTCACCAATGATGTCTCCACCACCAATATTAGAAACTTGAAACATTGAACTATAGTTTTTTTAAGCCATACAGTTGCTTAACACCTGAACTAGGAACATCCGATCAAGTAGCAAAATAAATGAAGAAAGATCTTGATTTTCTTCAACAAACAATTTGAGGCATTTTTTTAAATGTTATTTAAATGTATCCTAAGAGCCTAGAAAAAGATGCAACTGCACGAGATTTTGATTATAGGCCCTGTGCCCGGAACCTCAAAGTGCCAGATTCCAGCACAACTAATTTGCATTTACAACAATATGATCCTTCACTGCACCATTACAGCTATAATAGGTTCCAACTTCAGTTCTAATTAACATATCGCATTTGGTACAGCTAAAATCACATATGAAATTTCATGGAAACTCATTGGGATAAGCTGGCCCTTAACAACATGACATCACATAAGGTTCTCTAGGTGAGTCAATCAGTCAATTTTCATCACCTGCGCCTCTTTAATTGGAAATTGCTTCGTAAGTCAGTATTCAAAGAGTGACATTTAAGAGGGGATGTCACATGAACTAAATTTGTGTAGTTCATACAATTCCTTTATTCCTTCAATGAGTAAGCCATTCCACCATTTTAAGGCATCTTCCATCTCCTCCAAAGTAGCAAAGCAGAAAAATCCAAACCCAGCCTAGCCAACTCAAGATGTTATATTCGCATGTATCATAAAGTAGAGACAATAGGGATGTGATATTGTGACCGCAACTTAAATGCATCATAAGGTTTATAAGAATGCATCTAAGAAAGTACTGGGAAGTGTAACTTATTTGAGGAATTAAAGATGAGGCAAACTTTTCCAGTATATATTTGAGTACAAACCCACAAACTCCCCACCCCACCCCAAAAAGAAGTCCTCAGTTCTAAAGAATGAAAAGCAATTTTCTAGACGAACGGAGGATTTTTTTGTGGTGGGGGGGGTGGGGGGGGGGGGCTGAGTTTATGTCATGTCCATTGAGAGGGGTTTAAAACAGACATTTATGGTATTGTTAAATCAAAACAAAAATCAGAATGCTAGATAAAACCAGCATTCACACTTTATAAACTCAAAATTATAAACAGAAACTATGAGACAACAAAAGAAATTTTGGTCTACTTACATCCACAGAAAGCCCTCCAGTATCACTGGATATTGATGATCTCTTGGAACCGAAAGTATCAAATGAACCACTGCCAGTTCTACTCAAAGAATTTGAACGACTGATATTTGTTGAAGTTGCAGTAGCAGGAGACTCAAGACCACTAGCTGACTTAGAAGAGTGAGATAGCTGTGCCTGTAACCTCAAATGGTCTTCAACAAGCATTAGTACGACAACTGCATTCTCAGCCAAAGCCACAGAAAGTTGTGCAGCATTTTCTGCTTCTGTTTTCGAAGCTTGTGGTGATAAACCTTCGGCGGCAACGCCTGCAGCAGCTGCTGCAATAACTTCAGTCTGCTGCAGAAGAAACACTGGATTAAGATATTACTGAAAATTCCGTACACGCACATGCACACACACGCACACACGCACACACACATATACTGCAAAACCTGTAGTTATCAAATAACAGGAGCCACTTAAAGTTGGATGTGCATTTATAACGATAAGCGCAAGGTTTTTTCATTCAATTGTCTAGACTCTTAAGCTGCAGTAATAAATAGTTTATATACGCTGAAACTTCAACAGAACATAAAGTCTACGCATTAAACCCAAACATCAGCCACCTTCTATATTTCTTCTTCCTTTTTCCTTTCTTTTTCGTGTTTCTTTCTTTTTTACTTTTCTTTCTTTCTATTTTTTAACCTGGAAAGTCCTATGTGCATTCAGTTGATAAATAAAAACACATATTACACGTCCTTAAGAATAAAATGTCTGAAGGCAGAAAAAGAGAAAATGCTATCATGTTCTTGTCAAGTTTTCTTGATGACATTCTTTATTTTCATAATTCTTGACCTTTAGGGTGGTGGTCTGTCGCAATATAGACTTTCAAGAATAGTCCATACATCGATGTGAACCCTACTTTTTGAAGGTGTCAGATCTTAACTGGCAAGAGAGCTACATATTCAAGCGTGAGGCCATGATTCAAGCGTGAGGCCATTGATCAAGACATAGAACCAAAATTTTAATTTTTTTTCCTTCTTTTTTGTTCTTGTCATTTGTCAGCATTTGATATCAGATCTGAAAAGACCCACTTGCCTATTCAATATCAATATTATTCCAACAATTATAGATTTTTATACAGTACCGTCATTGATAGGTCCTCTTGAAAGAAACATAATTTTAGTCGACTTCAGTGTGCTGAA